TGGGTGCAGGTGAGGGTCTGCAATGCAGGCTTTGGGAGGTGGCTCAAGCCTGGGGTGGGAGGGTCCTGAGTATAGGCTATGATTGGGAGTGTAGGGCTAGAGGGGGCAATGGAATTTGGGGGAGGATATGGCGCAGGTTCTGGAGGAAGTGCGCTTGGGGGGCTGGAATGCAGGGTTTGGGGGGTGGCTCAGGCCTGGGGTGGGAGGGTCCTGAGTATAGGCTATGATTGGGAGTGTAGGGCTAGAGGGGGCAATGGAATTTGGGGGAGGATATGGCGCAGGTTCTGGAGGAAGTGCGCTAAAACACGGGGGCGGGCGGGTGGCAGCCAGCATAGATCAGTTTCCAGCTGCTTGTTTACCCCAGCTGCTGGCATATGAATTCTGATTGGTGCCGGAACTCCACAGACCCATATAACTCGCCGCCTATGCCCTCATGCGACCCCCAACCACGAGGCAAACCCTATCCCCTCTTCTGTGGAAAGGTTTGGAACGGGTCCCATATGAAGAGAGATTAAAGAGACTGGGACTTTTCAGCTTGGAAAAGAGGAGACTGAGGGGGGATAGGACAGAGGTCTATAAAATCATGAGTGGTGTGGAGAAAGTGAATAAGGAAAAGTTATTGACTTGTTCCCATAATAGAAGAACTAGAGGCCACCAAATGAAATTAATGGGCAGCAGGTTTAAAACAAATAAAAGGAAGTTCGTCTTCACACAGCACATAGTCAATCTGTGGAACTCCTTGCCGGAGGAGGTTGTGAAGGCTGGGACTAGAACAGGGTTTAAAAGAGAACTAGATAAATTCATGGAGCTTAAGTCCATAAATGGCTATTAGCTAGTATGGGTAAGGAATGGTGTCTCTAGCCTGTTTGTCAGAGGCTGGAGATGGATGGCAGGAGAGAAATCGCTTGATCATTACCTGTTCAGGTCACTTCCTCTGGGGCACCTGGCATTGGCCACTGTCGGCAGACAGGACACTGGGCTAGATGGACCTTGGGTCTGACCCAGTATGGCCGTTCTTATGTTCTCATGAAAGGTTCAGGAAAGGACAGCAAAAAGGATGAGGGGTTTGGAATGGCTGCCATATGAAAAGAAATAAAAAAGACTGGACTTCTCAGCTTAGAAAAGAGAAGACTAAGGGGGGATAGGATAGAGGTCTACGAAATCATGACAGGTGTGGAGAAACTGAATAAGGAAAAATTATTTACTTGTTCCCGTAACCTAAAAACTAGGGGTGACCAAATGAAATGAATAGGCAGCAGGTTTAAAACAAACAAAAGGAAGTATTTCTTCATGCAGCGCACAGTCAACCTGTGGAACTCCTTGCTAGAGGATGTTGTGAAGGCCAGGACTTTAACAGGGTTCAGAAAAGAACTAGATAGATTCATGGAGATTCTATTAGCTAGGATGTGTGGGAATGGTGCCCCTAACCTCTGTCAGAAGCTGGGAATGGGTGACAGAGGTGGGATCACTTGATGATTCCCTGTTCTGTTCACTCCCTCTGGGGCACCTGGTACTGGCCACTGTCGGCAGACAGGACACTGGGCTAGATGGACCTTTGGTCTGACCCAATATGGCTGGTCTTATGGACTTGCCTGCGATGGGCAGACAAGCTGCTTTTTCCATTGTTTTGATCTGTTTTCACTTTAAACGGCACCGAACTGGGTTCCCGAGGGAGGTGGTGGAATCTCCATCCTTAGAGGTTTTTAAGGGGCAGCTCATCCCATCCTACCTCGGTTCTGATCTACTGTGGCACTGCCTAGGTTCGTCTTTTGGGCAGAAAGCCTCTGCCCCAGGGGTGAATTTAGTTTGGCAAAGTTTGAGAATAAAACCTCGGAGCCTTTTCCTGAGACATGCGGCGGCGAGTTACCTTTGTAAAACTCAGGCCGTTTTTTCCACACTTCTGTCGGGGACTTTAACCCGGATGGCCTCCGTTCGTTGTCTGACCGCAAAGAAACAGGCAACACCAGCAAGATCCAATCCCAAGCTTTTTATTGAATAGTGCGCACTACAACAGAGAGCAGCCCGTCTCCCAAGTGAACCAGCCCTGATTTCAGTAACAAGTAAGATTATATAGACAGTTCCATCGCGTCATAAAACATTTGCCCAAGCATCTCAGCCCCCCCTTAATTAATTTGAAGCTTCTAGTGTTAATGCGTATACAGGCAGTCCCCGGGTTACATGGATCCGACTTACATCAGATCCCTACTTACAAACGGGGTGAGGCAACCCCGCACTAGCTGCTTCCCCCCAGCAGACCAGGGAGACGCGAAGCTAGCGCCCGCCCCCAGCAGACCAGGGAGACGCAGAGCGGCTTTTCTCAGCAGACACCTCAGCTTGAGAATAAAGGACTGAAGGAAGTGAGGTGTGGGAGAATAAAACTGAGCTCTGGAGAAATGTTTGGCTAGAGTTTCCCCTACAACATGTACCAGTTCCGACTTACGTACAAATTCAACTTAAGAACAAACCTACAGTCCCTATCTTGTACGTAACCCGGGGACTGCCTGTACTTCATGGCCTTAAGCAATTCATAATACGTCAACAGCTTTCTTATCAGTCCAGAAGGCAAGTACCAAACAAGAAGGAGACAGGGAGTTAAAACAACAGAGGGCAGAGACAGTTCATTAAGATCAGGGTGAGAACAGAAACAGGGAGTCACCTTATCAGTTCTCAAACTAGCTGTTCCCATCACAACCGGTATAGGAATGCAGCCTTTCACTTATTTTACTTCTGCAACTCAAGCAAGTATGTAGGGAGCGCCCCCTTGCTTAAACCATGTCTCTAGTTCTAATCAGGGACTACCCAGAAAGCTTTGTTAACCTCTTTCCTTGATCTGTCTTAACATACCTGCACCAGGCCCAGTTCTCTAGGGCCTAACACTTCCGTCAACTTTGGACGAGAAAATTTACGCGGGGCAGGAAGAGACTTCCCAAGTCAGACCCGCCTCCTTCTGTAGGCTCATAAATACCTGTTCTGGCGTCGCTTTGTGGTCAGAGCGGACGATAGGATTGTTGTGCAGATGCACTGATAGGGATGTAACATTGTAGTCGAGTATCGGATTAACTGATGAGCAAAAGCTTATAGGTGAATGCTATAGACTACATGCATTTCCCCCTCCCCGTCCTTGCCAGTACATTTTTTAGCAGGCTGGCCAGGAGCCCAGCTTAGTTCTGGCTTGTGCTGGACTCTGCTGCAGCTCTGCATTTCAAGTGCAATAGGAACCAAGCAGCCCAGTTCAGTTCCAGCTTGTGCTGGGACCAGGCGCTCAACCACTCCCCTGGACAGGGACTGCTACCACCCTGTGTTGCTGCCTCTGCTAGAAGTAGCGGCCTAGACTGGGAGGGAGGAGCTCCTTGGGAGTGGGGGTGGAGCTCACTGACTTCTGGCCCCACCCCCGGGGACTATAGAATAGTCGACTAACCAATCAGAACTCATGAGGTTACTCGACTATTCAATTAACTGATATTGAACATCCCTACCCGCTGTTCCCCCCCGACCAGAATTTTTTCCTCCCTCAGGCGTCAGTTTTGCGAACACCACACAGATGGATGCTGAGTGTGTAAACGTGTTATGCTTATCAGTAGCACACGGGATTGTTCTAAGGGGAAAAGACACTATACCACGTTTATTGAGACTCCAGTAATTCCTCCTTTGACACGGTAGAAACGTTTCAGAAAATGATCGTGTGAAGTGAAAACGTGTTATGTGGGGTCAATTTTCCCATTGAAAATAATGGAAAAGGTGGGGGTTGCATTTCAAGTGGTGGGGAATGGGGAAACCCAGCCGCCGGCCTGCAAGCAGGAGCGCAGGAGAGGGAGCAAGACGTCCGGCGAGAGAGGGTCACCGGGGAACGGCGCGGTAAACTCTGCGCCACTTTGCAGGGAGGCGGGGGAAGCTCTGAGCAGCCACCAGCAACCAGCCGGCTGGGGAAAACGTGTTATTTTGGGGACAGTCATGTTGTTCAAAAAATGTTCCCCCAAAAAATCGTGCCATTGCAAAAATGTGTTAAGCAAGTAATTACTGTGCAATGACAAAGCAGTTAGCATATGCATGAACACACTAACACACGCGCGCACACACTAATGCATGCATGCACATACCCATCAATGTTCTGAGCCCACCAGACTGATCACACATGGAAGAACGAGGCTCTCTCAGTCCTGACCAATTCTCCAGTTTTGGCAGGATGTTCCCAAAGTCTTACAGCAAAACAAAGTTTTTTTTTATAGTAGGGTTTTTTTTTTTTTAATCGAGGTTAGTAAGTTTTGCATTATTCTGTTTTTTTATGGATGTTTTTCATTTTTGGCGAGGTTTTTCTTTGTTGCTTTTTTTGTTTGCTTTTTGTTTTGCTATGCTAAGTTGGTTTTGATTATAAATATTTGGATTTAATTGATAAATGCTTGCCCATGTTTAGTGTTTTGGGCTGCCAGTTTGTTTTTTGTTGTTGTTATGCTTTTCAGTTTGTTGGATTTTTTTTCTTAGTATTTTTGGTTTAATGGTGGCTTTTACCGATATTTTTTAACATATTTTTTACTATTATGCATAACAAAAGCAAGAACAAGGATTACAATCAAAATGTTAAGTAAAACCAAATTTCTATTCTATTCTATTCTATTCTATTCTATTCTATTCTATTCTATTCTATTCTATTCTATTTATTTTAAAACTAAAAACAAAATAATCAGAACAGCTATACAAATTAAATGTATTTTTATTTTAAAATAATTTGGCAAGGTGTACAACATCAAATATTACTGAAATAGGAATTTTTTTTAATACAAATGCTCCAATGTGCATCATTTCATCTCGGTTATCGAGAGGGATTAAAAACGTTTCACTCCATTTCATGCTGGTGGCAGCGCTGGGGCTGGGAGGGAATAACATGACCAAAGCTGGGATCGTTAAACACAGGCACCTACACTTCGACTTCTAAATCCGTATTCAGGCACCCGAGTTAAAATGGCCTGTTATCCAAAGCTCTGGATACCCGAGTTAAAATGGCCTGTTATCCAAAGAGCTGGACCCCAGCGGTTCGTGCTCAGGACTTACACACACCAGGATTCTTATTCAGGGTACGGCTCGAGGAGGTGACCTTTGGGACGGTATTTTTTTTTAAAATCACATCTCAAGCGCTGTCCGAATATGGCAGAGTCTAGAATTTCCGTCTACACGGAGCGTGTGAAGGGGAAATCAGTGTGAAACCAACTCAAGGCCCCATCGAAAGATCCCCATTGGCGCTTCTCACCTGGCAGGGGGCACAATAACATCCGGATTTCGCTCCAGATCGTCCCGTCTTCGCGGAGGGCAGGGGAAGGAAATGGCAACCACGGTGGGAGTGACCTTCGAGGAGGTGGCTGTGTATTTCAGTGCGGAAGAGTGGGCGCTGCTGGGCCCCGCTCAGAGAGCCCTCTACAGGGAGGTCATGCGGGAGAACTACGAGGCGGTGACCTCGCTGGGTAAGACACCTCGGCCGTTTCCCATCGACTCGGTTTGCAGGTCCCACTCCGGCAGACATAGAACTGGGATTCACATCCTGGCGTTTCTGTGTAAGGAGGAAACTGGGAATTTGCAACCAGCCCCGATCTCTCCTGTTCTCTCCCCCCTGGGCAGGACTCCCCATCTCTAAACCTGACCTGATCTCCTGCATGGAGCGAGGGGAAGAGCCGTGGGTCGCCCATCTCCAGAGCCAGAGGAGGAGGGAGCTCCCCAGAGGCAGAAACTCAGGTGAGGAACCAGGTAAACAACCAGACGGGAGCAAAGTCCGTCATGCGCCCTTATGAACTTTCCCAGCTCTGACGCCTCTCAGATAGCTCAGTGTCTCGACCGGCAGTTCCCACCTCAGATTGTGCGGGCAGCCTGGCAAGGTTATTCCCCTCTCCGCTCCCGGCCTCCGTGCCCTGGTAGCGACGCTCAGACTTGTGAGTTACCAGCGCTGGGGTGGAGTTTGGGGACGGTTCAGCTAGAGATGATTCAGCTGATCCAAAAGGTTCTATCTGTGCAACAAAGTTTTACAGATCCCTTTTCCCCGGGGTTGCTCCATCCCTAGAGCAGGACGTGACTCACATTTGGGGTCTGTGCCCTGGTAGCGACGCTCAGACTTGTGAGTTACCAGCGCTGGGGTGGAGTTTGGGGACGGTTCAGCTAGAGATGATTCAGCTGATCCAAAAGGTTCTGTCTCTGTGACAAAGCTTTACAGATCCCTTTTTTCTGGGGCTACTCCATTCCGAGTGCAGGACGTGACTCACATTTGGGGTCTCTCCTTCCCCCAGCAGGTGACGGGACGGCCAGCGAGAACGAGGCAAAGAATCCCCAGCAGGGAGGCCCTGAGTCGGCAGGACCACCGGGAATGTGTGCGGGATGGTCCCAAGAGAGCGTTTGCCAGGTCGGAGTTGGCTGGTCAGAGGAGCAGTGTGGAAACCCACCCGGGGAGAGAGAGAAGAAATTCTCTCCTGAAAACAGATGTTTCAAGAAACTCAAAGAACTCCTGGACCGTACAGAGATGCCCGACAGAGAGACGAGAAAGGCAGGCGCTGAATGTGGGCTGGGCTCTCACAAGATGCTCCATCCAGGAATCCCCCCAGGGGAGACGACACCCCACCGATGTGGGGAAAACCCCCATCTGAGCTCAGCGCCTCCTTTTTTCTGGGGCTACTCCATTCCGAGTGCAGGACGTGACTCACATTTGGGGTGTCTCCTTCCCCCAGCAGGTGACGGGACGGCCAGTGAGAATGAAATGCAGAATCCCCACCAAGGAGGCCCTGAGTCGGCAGGACCACAGGGAATGTTCGCGGGATGGTCCCAGGGGAGCGTTTGCCAGGTGGGAGCTGGCTGGTCGGAGGAGCAGTGGGGTAACCCACCTGGGGAGAGAGAGAGCAAATTCAAGAAACTCAAAGACTTTAACAGGGAGACGGGAAAGGCAGGCGCTGAACGTGGGCTGGGCTCGCACGAGATGCTCCGTGCGGGGATCCCCCCAGGGGAGTCACCCCCCAGATGTGGGGAAAACCCCCGTCAGAGCTCAGCGCCTCCCGATCATCAGAGCGCAGCCCCCGCCAGCCTCCCTTGGGGGCAGAACCCCTGCCAGTGCCCTGTCTGCGGGAGAAGCTTTGCTCGGAGGTGGTCCCTCAAGATACACCAGAGGCTCCACACGGGGGAGAAACCCTACCAGTGCCCCACCTGCGAGAAACGTTTCTCTTGGATCTCGACCTTGGCCTCCCATCAGATGCGCCACTCGGGCGAGCGCCCCTACAAGTGCCCCACGTGCGGGAAAGGCTTTGCGGACAGCTCCAGCCTCCGGCGGCATCGGAGACTCCACTCGGGCGAGCGCCCCTACAAGTGTCTCACGTGCGGGAAAGGCTTTGCGGACAGCTCCAACCTCCGGCGGCATCAGAGACTCCACTCGGGCGAGCGCCCCTACCGGTGCCCTAGCTGTGGAAAAGCCCCCGGGGAGCCGGTAGCATCTCCCCATGGTGGGAGACATTTCTCCAGCAAGGCCCTCCGGCTTGGGAACCGGAGATCTCCCCCAGCAGAGTGGCCGGGCGGCGGCAGGAAAGGCACCGGGCCACGGTCCCTGGGTCTGTGCCGGCTGCGGGAAGAGCTTCGTCAAGAACTGGAATCTGAGCAGACACCAGCGGGGTCATTTGGAGCAGCCCAGGGCTGAGGGTGGGGAACGTCTCCGTTTGCGCCCATGCCCGACGCACCGGGCATGGCTCCCTGCGGAGGAGGGGCCGGACAGCACGGCCCTGCCCGA